AACAGCTCAAAAGACAGTGATAAGGCAGTAGGACTTGGAAAGTATCAGAGGTCTAGAAAAACAAAAGAGAATAATAAAACCATGATAGAAATGAAAGTATGTCAGAATAGCAAAATGTAAGATGGATGGTGCTGCAAACAGGGTCTTGAATGATGGAGCTTGAAAAAAAAAAATAAAGCAAAATAAAATGGAAAATACAGAGTAGAGTGTTACAGAGTAAATGATAGCTACTGAAGACAAAGTGACCCATGATAAATATAATTAGTGCCTCTGAAGAAGAGAATAAATCATATGGGACAAAAAATATTAACAAAAATATATGGAAAATTTCCTAAAATAAAATCTGAAACAACTCATGGGCGGTAGTACCCATGAGCCCTTCTGGAAAAGATGACTCGATCATGATTGCTTAATCTAGCTAAATGAGATTAATTAAAGTAGTGAACCCAGAAACCTTGGCAAACACTGATTTTTTTCCCTATTACCTCAAACAATTATGAATTCTTTATGTTAAGAATATTCAAAATCCTCTCTTCTAGCTGATTGAAAGTATACAATAAATTGTTGTTAATTATAGTCACCCTACAGTGCTGTAGAACACTAGATATTATTTATATCTGTTAACCAACCTCTCACTATCCCATTTCCTCCCTATTCTCTCCAGATTCTAGTAACCACCATTCTATTCTCCACTTCAATGTGGCCAATTTTCTTAGCTTCCATGTATGAGTGAGAACATGAAGTATTTCTCTTCTGTTCCTGACTTACTTCACTTATCATAATGGCCTCCAAGCTCATCCATGTTGCCATGAATAACAGAATTGTATTCCTTTTTACGGCTTTGTAGTATTCCATTGTATATATCCCATTTTCTTTATCCATTTATTGTTGACGGACACTTGGATTGATTCCATATCTTGGCTATTGTGAATAGTGCTGCAATAAACATGGGAGTGGAGATATCTCTTCAATATCCTGACTTCCTTTCCTTTGAATATATACCTAGTAGTGGAATTACTGAATCATATGGAAGTTCTATTATTTTTTTAGGAACCTCCATACTGTTTTCCATAACGGCTGTACCAAAATTTTCATTCCTACCTACAGGTGAATTATTGGAGCACAGAGGATTTTTAGGGCAGCAAAACTATTCCATGTGACACTGTAATGGTGAATAAATGACATTATGCATTTGGCAAAACCACAGAACTATATAACACAAAGAGAGAACCCTAATGTAAAATTGAATTAATGATAATAGATCAGTATTGGTTCATAACTGTAACAAATGTACCACAGGGGAACATATACAGGGGAAACTGTATATGTTTTTTTCTGGGGGAGGTGATATGGGAACCATCTGTACTTTTTGTTCAATTTCTCTGTAAACCTAAAACTGCTATAAAAATAAAGTAAAAGAAAATAAAATAATGAAATATAGATATCAAGAATGAAGCTGCCATGTTCGGGAAGAAATTATGGTTAGAAAACAGGGTGAAAATACTGTAAAGCTTTACAGTGTAGAAATAATAATGTAATTGGTGTGGAAGGGAAAGAGAGACTCAAAAATATGTCCATAGCAGTTAAATGAAGCTATTGATTTTTTGGGACATTATTTAATGTCATTGTCAGGAGCTCAGCTGAGCTGGGAAAGAGGGCTGGGCTGTCAGAGATGAGAGTAGCTGATTAAAGCAACAAGCCAAAGATGAAAGAGTTAGACCTTTACTCACTTACTGTGATGGTATTAGCTAGGGTCTAAAACCAGAGAAAATGCTCCCAACTCCCCCGTTCCATTTCCCCATGGATCAGTGCAGATGTGGGGGCAGTCTCAATGGTAAGGGAGTCAGTGGCTTTAAGGGAAGGGTGAGGGGGGAGGGCTAAGAGTGGAAAAGTGCAGGTACTGAGTCAGAATGGGAAAAAGTGTCTTCAAGGCCTTGGCAGAGGACTTGTGCCCCAGGTCTCAAATAAGGAGACTCTAAGAATGAAGGCTCTGGGGCCAGGAATGCAAATATGCAGCCAGAGGGCCTGAGAACTTGACTGCAAGGAGCCTGAAACCTTAACTGCAGCTTTCTTCAGAGCCTGCCATGTACCTGCTGTGAACTGAGGCTCCTGTGGGGAGGGCAGTTTTCTTCTGTGAGGCCTGCCTTGGAAAGCCTTTGTAGTTGGGTTAGTCCTGAAAAGTCACACACAGGTTTTTAACAAAAAGCAGGACTACTCAGATATAAAGATAACTAGTAATAAAACTAAAGTCAATAAGTTATCTAGGTAGCAAATAGGAAATTACTAGTCACTAGTATATAGACTTCATGTGAGCAGAAACCTCATTTGATCTGTTCATTGTTGTATTTCCAGACTTAGCACAATGCCTGGCATATAAAAGGTACTCTGAAATATTGGTGAATTAGTGTGTGAAAGTTGTTTAATGAATAACATATTGTGTCTAAAAGGTAGACATAGAAATACCAGGCAAATGCTAACAGGAGTTTTAAAATTGATATTAGGTAAGCTGGATTTCAAGGCAAAAAGCATTTAAGAGTCATAGAAAGTTAGTTTATAATGATAATTGGTACAGTCCTCAAGAAAGGTCTAATTGTCATGAGGATACATACGTAAAATAGCATCAGATTTCATAGGGCAGGAAATGATAGGAAATACCCACTCAACAAGTTTTTATCGAATACCTACTATTGCTACAAAATAAGAAAACCATTATCTTAAGAATATAAACTCAGTAATTCTAAGTCAACTATGAGCAAATAGATCAGAAGCACATTAAAAGAATAACATAATATGACCAAGCAGATTTAGTTTCAGGAATACAAAAGTAGTTTAGTATTAGGAATTACATTAATATTATTCAACATGTTAATAATTGGGAAGAACAAAATTATATGTCAGAAAACATTTGACAAAATTCGGTGTCTTTTTCTGATTGTTTTTAAACACTCAATAAAATTAGAAAAAATGAACACCACCTCAAGATATGTATGTCATTTACTGACTTATGAGGGAGTTATGTGTGCGCGTGGATGTATGTTTGAGAGAGTATGTGCATGTTATATGTTTAAGCGTACACGCACATATATACACATATCTCCAAATCCAGTAACATGCTAAATGGTAAAACATTTAAAAAGTTCTCATTAAAAATAATGAATAAGACAAAGATGTCCACTATCAGCACTATTACTTAATATTGTTGTGGATCTGTTAGCTAATGTACTCACACAAGAGAAATAGTACATAAATAGAACTGAAGACTCAAAAACAGGATTGAATATGTCTGGAAAACACAAGTGAGTTAACTAAAAGAATAAGAAGCAATTAGTGCATTTAATAAGGTGCCTGGTTACAAAAATATGATAACCGATAGCCTACTATATCCATAAAAGCTATTAGAAAATATAACAGAAGAAAGTTTCTACAGCTAACATGTTCCCAGGTTATAGTAACGACACAGAATTTATAAACACCTAGAAATAACAAGAAATTTGTGTAACTCACATGGGAGTAAGAGAGACTTGAAGAATAATGGAAAGTACTTAGATGGCAGAATATTGTAAAAGTTTTACTTCTCTTTAAATATAAATTCAGCAAAATAGTAAAAAGTTATTGTTTTCTAACCTACCAAGTTCTTCCTAAAGTTTAGATGAAAATTAACTGTAAGAATGGCCAGGAAACTTTCTGAGAAAAGCAGCAATAAGGCAAGCAGAGGGACAAGTATAACCGCCAGTCAACATGTGTTACCACTCTGAGTTGATCTAACATTGTTTGAAAGCAAAAATATTTTCATTAACTTGTATGGCCATATTATAGAAAAAAGAGCACATTTCCATTAACTTTAAAGTATGGCATCGTTAAAGATAACTTGCATAACTCCTAAACTACTTTGCTGAATCTGAACCTAGGATGCCAGGTAAAATAAATTAAGTTGTGAAAGGTTCAATTTAGAGATTATTTTTGCATAACTGCCCCATCATTTGGACTACATTATTAAAAATCACTATTTTGAAGAATCCTTTAAAATTGTAATTTTTAAATGTCTGGCTGTATTAGAGATATTGATTCCGTTTACTGCCCCTTAGATTCTAGACACAGGATGCTCCAGCTATAATTGCTATAAAAGATTGTTGTTTTATTTCTATCATAGTTTTAGGAATTTAACTGTAATCAATCTACATTAAGTTGCTTATCATAATGACTCTGTATGGACAATATGATGTGCTGTCCAATGCCCTGCCTCATGTTTTCTGACAGACTGCTCAGTGCCTGATTTTCAAATTGTTTTCCTTAGAACCTGGGATTCCAGGAATGCTTGAGGAAATTTTCAATATTTAATTTTGATTTCATTTTACAAATGTATCTTAAATTATTTAAAATCCTATGATCAAAAATGACAGACAAGAACTTTCAAACACAGTGGAGACAACTGGCATGTTCCCAGGTTAACTCACCCTTTTCAGAACTCAGATTAAAGCTTTTCCTGCTTTATTCATGTACTTGAATTTCTTAGGAGTATGTTATAATTAGGAAGGTTGTGACTCTGGGCTGATCTATTTAAATTTCTGGCTACGACATACACTAAGAATGCTTAATGAGAACTGATAAACCAATGACTCTGTTTATCTTCTGATATATAAAAGAAGAAAACTAGCACATTTTGCAATTACTTAGCTCATTAGAGATTATTTTGATTAATCTCATCTACAATCTTTGGAAGTTCTTTGCATACAACTTCAAAATAATAAAATAATTGTGGATATATCTGAAAATATTTTCCATTTGATAAATTAACAGACACATACCTGAAAGAGATGGTGATGGGTCAGTATATCTCATTTGCTAAATAAAAAACATTATTGATAGGTAGGTATTTCAAAATTTCCTAGACCCTATGCCAGAGATAGTTAATGACAAAATAAAGTTCTTCATATCTGACTCCAGGAAACAGAGCAGTGTAACACTTGAGGCATCCTTGCTGCAGGAAGTGCTCAGGATCCAGGAAACTACTCTGTTCCAGCTCTGCTTTGGTGGGCTCTGGGACCTTGGGGGAAATCACTTAATTTCTCAAAGCTTCTGTTTAATGCCCCACTTCCTTCACAAGATTGCTTTAGAAAGTTAATTTAACTGAAGTTGATTTGAAAAGTATCGTGTTGCATAAACTGTTATAATTTCTGATGTATTTAGTTATGATTAGTTAGCATTTTTCTTTCTTTTCCATTCTATCCATGTTTTAATATTCTTACCCCCTCTCGCCCCCAAATGTTCACTCCTTAGGGTATTACACTAGAAGAGTTTGACAGATTATCTTTCAATATGATTTTAATGAGCCCTCCATGTCAGCCATTCACGAGGTATGTATAATAAACATTTCTCAGTTGAGAAAGGGTAATTTTGAAGGACCCATTAAGTCAAATTGTACGATAGTTTTAAGCATGTACACTTTGAAGTCTATCAGCTGCATTTTCATAGTTTTGAAATTTTTCATAAATTACTCTATTATCTACTTATATTTATAGTTAAGCATTAATCATAAAGGAAATGGTAGTTACTGCCAGATGAGCAAAAAAAAAAAAAATTGGTCAACATTGGTATGCAAGACTATGAGATCTCTTTTATACCTACTTAAGATACAACATTTATTTCTGCCCAAATTACCATAGTTTATTGAAACTAATAAGCATTCAGGAATATCTTTCTAACACTGATTATTAATCAAAGTGAATTTCTTTAATAAATATTCAAGTCCTAAATTACTTAATTGTAAAAAGCTACTCAAGCATGCATTTCTGAATTTTACATTTCTTAAAATTCATATGTACATTTAATAATTCTTATTTTTCATAGCCACATTGCAGTATCCTCATTTTAAGAAATATAATTGAAATGTATTGGTTGTACATATTTATGGAGTACAGAATTATGTTTCAATACATGTACAAAACGTGTAATGATCAAATCTGGCTAGTTAGTAAATTCATTGCAAAAGTTTATTTTTTGTTTGTTATGACAACATTTAAGGTCCTTTCTGTTAGCCATTTGACAACATACAATAAATTATTGTTAATTATAGATGCCTAGCACTACTGTACACAAATAAAAAGTATTTTTTCTATCTAGCTGTAATTTTGCAAATATTTTCTCCCATTTTGCAGGTTGTTGCTTCCCTCTGTTTATTGTTTCCTTTGCTATGCAGAAGTTTGATATAATCCCATTTGTTTATTTTTTCTTTTGTTGCCTGTGCTTTTGAGGTCTTATTCATAAAATCCTTGCCTAGGTCTATGTCCTGAAGCATTTTCCTTGTGTTTTCTTCTAGAGGTCTTATAGTTTTAGGTCTTACATTTAAGTCTTTAATCCATTTTGAGTTGATTTTTGTATCTGGTGAGAGATAGGCATCTACTTTCATTCTTACTATACATGGATACCCAGTCTGTCCAGCACCACTTACTGAAAAGGCCGTCCTTTCCTCAATGTATGTTCTCAGCACCATTGTCAAGGATCAGTTGGCTATAAGTATGTGGGTTTATTTCTGGATTCTATTCTGTTCTGTTGGTTCATGTGTCTATTTTTATGCCTGTACTATGCTGTTTTGGTTACTATAGCTTTATTGTACATTTTGAAGTCAGGTAGTGTAATGACTCCAACTTTATTCTTTCTGCTTAGGATTGCTTTAGCTATTCATTGTCTTTTGTGGTTTCATATGAATGTTAGGATTGTTTTCTCTGTTTCTGTGAGGAATGTTATTGGTAATTTGGTTGGGATTGCATTGAATTTGTAGATCACTTTGGGTAGTGTGGTCATTTTGACAATGTTAATTCTTCCAATCTATGAACATGATTGTTTTTTCCATTTTTTTATGTCCTCTTTAATTTCTTTCATCATTGTTTTATAGTTTTCACTGTAGAGATGTCACCTCTTGGTTAAATTTATTCCTAGGTATTTTATTTTTTTGATAGCTATTGTAAATGGGCTTGCTTTCTTGACTTCTTTTTCTGCTAGTTTTTTGTTGGTGTATAGATATGCTACTGATTTTTGTATATTGATTTTGTAGCCAGCATCATTACTGAATTTGTTTATCAGTTCTAAGTTTTTTGGTGGAGTCTCTAGGTCCAGTGAGTGGGAACCGGTCTCCACATGCGATCCGAACCCTCGGCAGGAGCGCCGCCGTGCTCCCAAGCGGCGCACTCTCCAGTGCGCCACCGGGCCAGCCCGTGTTTCAAGAAATTTTTTAATTTCCTGCTTAACTTCTCCTTTGACCCTTTGGTCATTCAGGAGCATGTTGTTTAATTTCCATGTATTTGTATAGTTTCCAAAGTTTTGCTTGTTACTAATTTCTAGTTTTATTCCATTGTAGTCTGAAAAGATACTTGATATGATTTCAATTTTTGTAAATGTGTTGAGACTTGATTTGTGGCCTAACACGTGGTCTATCTTGGAGAATGGTCCATGTGCTAATGAGAAGAATGTATATTCTGCATTTGTTGGATGAAATGTTCTGTAAATATCTGTCATGCCCATTTGGTCTATAGTGCAGTATAAATCTAATGTTTCTCTGATGATTTTTTTTCTAGATGATCTGTACAATGCTAAGAGGTGGGTGTTGATGCTTCCAGCTATTATTGTATCGAGACGCCTATCTTTCCCTTCAGATCCAATAATATTTGCTTCATATATCTGGGTGCTCTTGATGTTGGGTACATATATACTTAAAATTGCTATAGCCTCTTGCTGAGTTGATCCCTTTTTCATTATATAATATCCTTCTTTGTCTCTTTTTATAGTTTTTGGTTTAAAGTCTATTTCCTGCTCATTTTTGGTTTTCACTTATGTGGAATATCTTTTTCCATACCTTCACTATTAGTCTTCACAGGTGAAGTGAGATTCTTAGGCAGCATATAGTTTGGCCTAATTTTCAAATGCATTCAGCCAATTTGTCTTTTACATGGGGAATTTAATACATTTACATTTATGATTGTTAGTAATAGGTATTGCTTTACTCTTGAGATTTTATTAAATTTTTATGGTTGTTTTGTATATCATCTGTTCATTTCTTTCTCTTTTATTGTTTATCTGCTGTTTGATGGTTTTTCGTAGTGGTAAAATCTAATTTCTTTCTCTTTGTATACCTGCTCTACCAGTGAGTTTTATTCTTTTAAGCGTTGTTATGATGGTAGTTATTGTTCTTTTGCTTCTAGATGTAGGACTTCCTTAAGGATTTTTTTGTAGGGTTGGTGTTGTGATGGTGAATTCAAAATTTTTGTTTGTCTAGGAAAGTCACTATTTCTCCTTCATATCTGAAGGATAGCTTTACTGGGTATAGTATTCTTGGCTGACAGTTTTTTTTCTTTCAGCGCTTTGAATATATTATCCCATTCTTCCCTAGCCTGTAAGGTTTCTGCTATGAAATCTGCTGTTAGTCTGATGGGGATTCCCTTATAGATGATGTAACACTTTTCTCTTGTTCTTTTTAGAATTCTCTCTTTGTCATTGTCTTTTGACAATTTGACTAAAATCTGTAGTGGAGAGGACCTTTTTGGATTAAACCCATTTGGGGATCTTTGAGCCTCTTGGATCTGGAAGTCTATATGTTTCCCAATACTTGGGATGTTTTCAGCTATTATTTCATTAAAAAAGGTTTTCAATACATTTACCTACAATACCTTTTCCTTCTCCTTCTGTAATACCAATAATATGGTTGTTTGTACACTTAGAGTTGTCCAATCGATCTCATAGGCTTTCTTTTAAAAAAATTTTTTTTTCTTTTCTTTTTTTTTTTTTTATGTTTGTCTGACTGGATTATTTCAGAAAGTCTGTCTTCATGCTTAGAAATTCTTTCTTGTGCTTGATCTAACCCATTGCTTAAGCTCACAATTGTATTTTCTTATTTCATTAAATGAATTCTTCAGTTCCAAGATTTTTTCTTGGTTCTTTTTTTTTATATCAGTCTCTTGTTGTATTTCTCCTTCAGATCCTGAATTGTTTTTCTCATTTCATTGTGTTGTTTATCTGTAGTTTCTTGCATCTCATTGAGTTTCCTTTAGAGTATTATTTGGAATTCCTTTTCAGACATTTCATAGTTTTCCTTTTCTTTGGTGTCTGGTACTAGAGAATTGTATTCCTTCGGGAGTGTCACGTTTCCTTGTTTTTTTCCGCCACATTTCTTGTATCCCTATGTTGATATCTAGGCATCTGGTGGAACAGTCACTTCTTGTAATACTCCAGAATAGCTTTTGAAGGGAGAGACTCTTTCCTGTAGATGTGTTGTATAGTGTCAGTAGAGTCTTTTAGGTTTGATTCTAGGTGAATACAATAGTGTAGTTTCTGTGTAATTTCATCTACTCTACTCAGTGGAGTTGTCTGTGAGTGCCTCTATGGCTTAGGCACTGGGGTGCTCAGCAGCTCCTTGCTGAAGTAGATGACACTGGGCTAGGTCACAGGGGTTGGGGTGAAGTCTTGAGCTCTTCAGAGAAGGATTGGGGTGCTTCATTGCTCCTCAGCTGGAGTAGGTGACACTAGACAAGGTCACTGGGATGTGGAAAAGCCCCTTTGTCCCCAAGAGATATGCTGGGGTGCTCTGCAGCTGCTCAGCTGGAGTGGGCCCTCTCTAGTAGAGGCTGCTGCAGTCATGTGCAGGTCCCTGTGCCCCCAAGAGAGATGCTGCAGTGCTTTGCATCTTTACTGTTGAAGTGGGCCACTTTGGGTAAGGTTTCTGGGGTCATGGTGGGGCCCTGCACTCTCAAGAGAGACACTGGGTTGCTCTGCAGCACTACTGGAGTGGGTCACTCTGGGTGAGTCTGCTGTGATCCTGGGCAGGACTCCACACCTGCAAGAGAGATTCTGGGTCACTCTGCAGCCACTACCCATCTGGGATGGCTGGCCCTGGACAGGCTTACTGGAGCTTTCAGTGGGGCTTCATGCCCTCAAGAGAGATGTGTGGGAACTCCACAACTTCCCATCTGGGTGCGTGGTTCTGTGTGGGTTTGCTGGAGCTTCAGTGGGACTCAGTGCCCCTGTGAGAGGTGTGCAAGTGCTCCACCGAAGAGAGAAGTGCTGCCGTCAGTGGCAGAAGGACCCGATCGGTCCATTTTCTGACTCCAGAAAGTGCGTGCACTGACTCTCTCTGCCTGAAAGTGGCCTCCACATTTTGCTGGACCACTTGTTTCCAGGGTACAGGATACTGTGTAGGCTTATGTGCTGGAGACCCAGTGTGATGACAAGGCCTCAGGGCCATAGAGATGCCAGGGTTATTGGACCCTGGGGAAAAATGAACTTGGGTATTGGCTATAATTCTAAAATGGCAACTACTGTAGCAGCCCTGGGGGTGGAGGGTTCAGTGCAAACTCTCTCCCTGGATTAATGTAGTCCCTTGGGTTCCCAGCAACTCCCCACACTGGGGTCATAGTCTGCAAGTGCCACGCAGCTCCTTTGTAGCTTGGATTGCAGGTGTCTGCAGCCCAGCTCTTGTTCACCTTTTCCCTGCAGGCAGAAATTCTTTCTAGGTTCCTGCTGCCTCTGGCTGGGCATGGGGTGATGGAGGCCGGGTATTTTCTTCCATTCTCTATCTGGCTATCCTCAGTTTCTGCTCACTAGAGTTTCTGTTTTACTTCTTTTATATGCTCCAGAGCTCTCCTTTAGTTAATTTTGTCCAGCATAGTTGCATATTCATTGTTCTGTCTGTCTTTGTGGGATAGATGAGTGGTAGAGTTTTCTTTTTTTTTGTCTTTTTCGTGACCGGTAAGGGGATCGCAACCCTTGGTGTGGTGTTGCTCGCACCGCGCTCAGCCAGTGAGCACACTGGCCATTCCTATATAGGATCCGAACCCGCGGCGGGAGCGTCGCTGCGCTCCTAGCACCACACTCCTGAGTGCGTCACGGGGTCGGCCCGAGTGGTAGAGTTTTCTAGTCAGACATCTTTCTCTGCCTACATCCAATTTCTTTATTTTTGAAAAATTACATAGTATTGATTTGTCTGTGTATTTCAAGGAATTATATCTTAAGTGAAATCTTGATTAATTCATCTTCATTTAGATATTTTTAATAATAGTAATTTTAATTATTTTAAGTAATCATAGTAATGATCTTTTAAGTGTCTTACATTTAACAAACACTACTGCTACCATTCTTTTATAGGTGACAAACTGAAGCATAGAGAGGTTAAGTAACTTTCCCAAGGCTATACAATTACAGACTGTCAGAGCCAGGATTTATCAATTATGTTATATATTCCTGTTTTAATATATATGATTTAAGTGGAATATCACATGTAATAACTATTTTAATTTGAATGGATATTCTCATGGTAAATTTTCATCTAAATTTTGATTTATTTAAACAGCTCTCTAGGAAACTAATTCCCAAAGTATTTATTGTTCATGTCCCTAGTGAGCTTATAGTCTGATGAGAATGACTGACAAATAATTAACTTATGGTGTGATATAAGCTATATAGTAAAAGAATACTGAAAATGACATTAGAGCACAGAGAAGAAAGTGGCTTTACCACATATCAGAAGAGGGGAATTCCTACAGAGGTGATGCCTGAGCTGTGTCTGAAAGCAGATTAGGAGTTTATCAGAGAAGACAGAGGCCATTCCATATAAAGTTGTCTCTATGCCTGTGCAAGGGTAGGCCCTGTTAATACAACAGGTAGGATATACAGTACAGAATACAGCCCCAGCACTGAAGCCTCATGTATTGTGCAGTGGGCCCTTAGTATCTTCCCTGCTACCACCCCCACCTGGTATTAGCCCAACTCCAGCTGCTGATGGCAGCAGTGACTGATTCTGTAGTCATCATCATTTGGAACTCTGAGACGAAAGGGATAAAAATAAGAAGAATCAAAGATTTCTGAGGAATCTTTTCAAGTCCAGTACAATCCCCTAACTGAACCTCAGATCCACTGATGGTTTTGGTCCTGCTGTCAGGTATGAGGATGCTGATAAGTGATGTCAAATAATTTATTTAAGAGTATGAAGTAGCAAGGTTTTAAACCCTGGTCCTCCATTCTTGCTACTCTGGCCCAATCCAAGTTGTCCTTCTGCTTGGTCCTTGATCATATTGTGAATTTTGCTTGTAGGATCTGATTGCTAGCCTAAATTTTACCTCTTTCCATGACCTGTCTTGACCCCAGCTAGTCTAACCATGTTGTATCTCCTGCTTATAGAATCAAGCCTTCAGCTCCTGTTTACATTGGACAGGATTGTCTTAGTCTTACCTACTACTTTGATCTGCTTAGATGGTGATTAGTCACCAATACCATCAGCTCCAGGTGGCTACTCAGCCAGCTGAATTCTTGTCTTGCCTGGGGCAGAGCAAAAAAGTGGTGTCAGCCAAGTATGTGAGTGTGGGTGTGTGTGCATCTTTTTCCTAAACAATGTGATTTTAAGAGGGTAATTGGTTTTATTCTTCATTCACTTCTTGTTTATAAGTCACTTGGCATATTGTTTGGTAAAAATAAATTTTAAGTGTAATTACTAGATATGCAAGCCTTTTTTCTTTTTTAATTAAATAAATAAATGCATTTTGTTTTCTATAACAACAAGATGATCATATTTTTTGTGAGGACCAACTTATTTTAATTCTCTTGGTTTGGGCTTTTAAAAAGTGATTTGGTATCTTTATATCAAGGTTCAACATGTTTGTACTTTCTTTACCCTTTAGAATTGGCCTGCAGGGTGATATGACTGATCCGAGGACAAATAGCTTCTTGTATATTCTAAATATTCTCCCAAGGTAAAAACTCAGATTCCTGTACAAGCTTACCTTAAATTTAAAATTGTGAGTCTGGAAGAATGTGTTGTTTGTCATTTTATAGAGGTTAACAGTTTCTACCTGCTCTGTTCAGAGTCTGCTTGTCACTTATTTTCTTCTGCCATGACTAATAGAATAACTGCAAATGTTTCACAATTCCATGCTTGCCACCAGCGAGTGATTGGGAATTACAGAGTACTAGCTAAATTCTATCGCCTCTGCTCATAGTAGTAGTAATGCAAATAATGCTAATGTTGTTGAATGCTGTTACTCATGGCCAGTAAACATGGGCTAACCATAGTAGAAGCCACCATTCTATGTGATTGGCAGCCTGTGGAGCTATGCAATGCAGTGGACCTGTGCAAACCCATGTTTTGAGATAAGTTTCAATGGAAATTAACATTTCCATCAAATGTGCCATGTTTATGGGGAAAAATGCATAAAATATGAGTTGTTTCCATCCCTTATAAAATTCCTTTAAAAAGAGAGAGTTCAGGAAATTACTTACCTCATATTTCCCACAAATAATAATTGTTTTTACTTTTTATTTCCTAACAATGAGCTATTGGAATTTAATTTGTTTTTATTTTTTTAGATTACAAAAATTACCGAA